TTAAAAAAAAAAGATTTATTTATTTATTTGAAAGGCAGAGTTTACAGAGGAGCAGAGGCAGAGGGATCTTCTGTCTGCTGGTTCACTCCCCAAATGGATGCAATGGCCAGAGTTGTGCTGATCTGAGCCAGAAGCCAGAGCTGCTTCTGGGTCCCCCACGGGTGCAGGGGCCCAAGCACTTGGGGCATCCTCCACTGCTTTCCCAGGCTAGAGCAGAGAGCTGGATTGGAAGTGGAGCAGCTGGGACTCAAACCGGTGTCCATATGGGATGCTGGTGCTGCAGGTGGCGGCTTTACCTGCTATGCCACAGCACCGGCCCAGGAACTTCTTAAAGATTGCAGTTTCATTGACTGGCTTTTATTTAAATTGGATTAAAGTGTTTTATATGGAAAAAATTTAATATACTTTTCAGAATGCAACTGACAGGTACTAGCCTATGTTTATGGGAGGAAAAAAATCAATTACCTGAGACAAGGGGCCTAGATATCTTGGAAACATGTCTTGAGAACAACCCAACATTTGCAGATCAAAGGCCCTGCCCAATATCATTGTAAGGAAGGTCCCAAGTCTGGTGCCAGGAACCTTTCTGCCCAGTAATGTAACACCCAGGGAGGATCCTGCACTTGGGTGTTCTGCCTAGTAATCTTCCAGAGATGGGTAGGGAATATGGTTGAAAAAATTTGCCCATACCCATACAAACCATAGTCTAAATGCGGATGGGGGCATATACACTGACTTTTGGCTGAGATCCCTTCTTGATGAGTCAGGTGCACTTCTTCATCAACCTCACTAGTGTGCTTGCTGCCAGTCTCTTGTCTCTCCTCTGAATTCTTGTCCAATGGGGAGGTAAGGACTCCATTATAAATGTACCTGAACAAATGCTGTGAAGAGTTGGCCTGTCTTCCTGGGAGAAGTGAGGGATGATCCCAGAAGCTTAAAAGGCCTATTTGCCTGTGAGAAACTCCCCTTTAGACTACCTTGGTGATGTCACAGCTCTTTCCATATTTCAAGAGGAGAAGCAAATTTTGGAAGTGCTGAGCTTCAACTTCCAGCCTTACTGGCAATACCGCTTTCTCTACCTTTGTCAAAACAACACACACACACACACAACCAACAAAACACAACTTTGGGCTGAGTTAACAAATCAAACTCACATAAGACCACAGTTAGTTTGTTCTGAATTCCTGGGATCCTGTATGTGGGGAGTTCTGAAAGGCTTGTGTTCAAGCAGCCCAGCATCTGCAACCCCTGGAAATGTCGTAGGGTGGCTTGTCCATGTTCTTTTCTTCAGGGCAAGAAAAGAGTTCAAGGATGAGACTTAGGTAAAGCTTAGCAGAGAAACAAGATTTAGTTACATGCAAAGTGATGCATGCTCGAGAGAGCTACATTCTGTAAGGTTCAGGTCCATCCTTTTCTATGGCCTGGAGGCCAAAGGGATGGGCTTGGAGCAGAGCTTCTAAGAGCAGAAAGAGCATTTTCCTAGAAATTTTCTCACCTTACACTTTGTTTTTTTTTTTCACAGTTGTTAAAAAATGTATGAAGTGCCAACTATTTTTGGCTCAAAGAATTTTGTGATCTTAGATGTAGAAGCTATGGAAATAGGAAGTATGGAAACAAAAATGTCCTATCGGTGTTGAATAGTAAGGTATTAGGTGGGTGGGTGTGTCAAAGTGAGTTTAAATCTGGGATAGAGACCACTGAACTAACACACTTCATTGTATAACGTTGGGGGCAGTTGTGTACTCCCTTTGAACCAAAACTGCACTAGATTGTGAACAAAGCTTTGGAGAGAGCATTTCAGCATTTTATTTGCAGATACTGGCCTACCTACCAATCAAAACACAACTCCCTTCTAGGCAACCTGGAGACACACAGCTTTGGACCCAAGAAGGTTTGAGTATATACAAGGGTAGGGAGACATATTAGGGAGAGGTAAACAACCTAGACCTTTAGTTTGGTTCATAAAGGGTATGCAGTGATGGGAATTCCACCTGAGGGCAAGGGAAATTAGACCACCACTAGAAGGGCTGCCCTAGATCAAGGCCACCTTGGATAACTCAGCTAGAATTTCTCTGTCTAAGCCTTCGGGATTGGGAAGCAGGAGAGCAATTATGTTCAGAGACTTTCTGGAAAGTATCAAGTTTCTTTTGAACACATAAAACATTCATACCACTGTGGAACTAGCAGGGATCACCATCAGTGACACTAGTAGTGTGGCCTCTTTCAAGGCTCACACAAAAGCAGTTGATTAGACAAATCATATTTGCCCAATGTCTGTGTCAGCAATGAAGCCTGAAATGGAATTCTTGATTCAGAGAACAGAATCTTACAATTTCCCTCCTCTGCAGTGATTTAACACATACTCTCTGCTTACAATATAGCCATAGGTAGAAGCTGTTTCCATTCACCATCTCTTTGGCAATATCCTTCATAAGGTGGATTGAATTGCTAAACCTGTTTTATGGAAGAGATGACAGCTTAGAGATAATAGAAATCTTCAACTCTTTCTCACCTATAACATGTAAAATTGTGTAAAAAAATCTGAGACAAAATTAGGACTCAAATCCCAGTGTCCAGTGCTTTTTAGCACAGTGTATATTAGGCAATGATCAAGAAAGGAGAGCTGGATCAAACACTTTATTATTCTACATTATAAACCGGGGAGATAATGTTTGCTGGCTTTTTTTCTCAGAAATGTCATAACAGATTTGAGATCATTGTTGTGAAAACTTTAGTAAATAAGAGCATACTATGGAACATCTTCGATGTCCCTCTTTAAATCCTAGTAACTTTTTAAAGTGAGTTTATTTGCTCGTGGAAACAAGCACTTTAAAGATAGTTGAGAAAGCCCTACCTAAAACCACAATCAACAGTTTCTGGAATCTATCTGACAATGCTTTCTGAATAGTTTGTTTCTGGGATGTCTTCTCCTTCATAAGGAAAAATCGTGGTCTTAGATTCAACCAGAACAAATGGATGGAGAATGTCTGGATGAGTGCTGATAATATGTCTAATAATGGAAGTATGTCCACTCTTCTTGGATGTGTATCTTGGTGATGACGGGCACACACAGCACACGGTATCCTGGGAGGGCCCATCACCACTGTTGCCCTCTATTCCAGAAGTTCCTGATGTGCTGGCAGTGAGGTCTGGGACGGGAACTGGGCACTCATGGATCTCAAATTGGTAAGTGGAAGCCGCACTTCTACAAACTCTGCCCTTCTGTGAGTCCAAGGCTGAGACACCATACAGAGAATGGATTGGTGGTAAGTACAGATGATCTGTCCCTTCATCAGGTATCATCCATGGGAGCCTACTGTATTTCACTTGCTGACATCCCTACCGCTGACTTAAGACTCCTAAGACTAGGACCATAGATTCTAGAAAAAATAATAGAAGATCCTTTTCAGGTACATAGGTTGGCCTCTTTTCCCATTCAAACCCTTCCATTAACAGACAAAGAACCAAATGTTTATATGAGAGTGTGTTGAAACCTTCAGATGATTTTGCTGAGACAACTGATCTGTGTTTGAAAGACTATTTTGGGCTGGTGCCACGGCTCACTAGGCTAATCCTCTGCCTGCGGCGCTGGCACATCGGGTTCTAGTCCCGGTCGGGGCACCGGATTCTGTCCCGGTTGCTCCTCTTCCAGTCCAGCTCTCTGCTGTGGCTCGGGAGTACAGTGGAGGATGGCCCAAGTGCTTGGGCCCTGCACCCACATGGGAGACCAGGAGGAAGCACCTGGCTCCTGGCTTCGGATCGGCACAGCACGCCGGCTGTAGCGGCCATTTGTGGGGTGAACCAATGGAAAAGGAAGACCTTTTTCTCTGTCTCTCTCTCACTAACTCTGCCTGTCCAAAAAAAAAAGACTATTTTGCATAAAACAAGTTCTTAACCCAAAACTGGGAAGATGTTATTTCTTCCCTAAGCTTCCTGGCAGGAGATCAGCTGAAGGATTTTAAATATCAGCCTTCTGTGAGGTATTGCCCAATGTAAAAATCTGCCCAGGAATTTAATAGGGATGGCCTGAAATGTATCTGAAAAGATTAATTTTTAAAATATATATGTATTAATTTATTTGAAAGAACAACAGAGGGAGAGAGGGAGAGGAGGGGGAAAGGGAGAGCAGAGAAGAGGAGAAAAAGAGAAGAGAAGGGAAAGGAAGGGAAGAGAAGGGAAGGGAAGGGAAGGGAAGGGAAAGGAAGGGAAGGGAAGGGAAGGGGAAGGGAGGGAAGGGGAGGGGAGGGGAGGGGAGGGGAGGGGAGGGGAGGGGAGGAGAGTGGAGAAAGAACAAAAGAAATATCTTCAACCAGGGCTGGTGCTGTGGCGTAGTGGGTAAAACCACTGCCTGCATGTCAGCATCCCATATGGGCACCAGTTCAAGTCCCAGGTGCTCCTCTTCCCATCCAGCTCTCTGCTCTGGCCTGGGAAAGCAGTAGAAGATGGCCCAAGTCCTTGGACCCCTGCACCTGCATGGGAGACCTGGAAGAAGCTCCTGGCTCCTGGCTCCTGGCTCCTGGCTCCTGGCTCCTGGCTTTGGATGAGTGCAGCTCCAGCCATTGTGGCCATTTGAGGAGTGAACCAGCAAATGGAAGACAGACTTTCTCTCTCTCTCTCTCCCACCCCTGTGTAACTCTGCCTTCCAAGTAAATAAATAAATCTTTTTAAAAAAGAAAAAAAAAGAAATATTTCAACCTTCTGGTTTACTACCCTAATGTCCATAACAGCCAGAGGTAGGTCAGGCAGAAGCCAGGAGCCAGGAGCTGCCACACGGGTGGCAGGGGCCCAAGCACTTGGGCTATCTTCTTCCTTCTCAGGCATGTTAGTAAGATGTTGGATCATAAGCAGAGCAGCCAGCACTGGAACTGGCATTCTGATATAGGAGTGACAGCTTAATCTGCTGCACCACAATACCAGCCTTAAAGATGAATTTCAGAAATAGGAAAAAAGTCTTTTCCTTATTCCCTCACCTCTCTCCTTGCAGTGATAATGGACGAAAGAACAGCGCAGGGTCCTGTGTTGCTCCTCCACGAAGAGGGGGAGCGACACAACACCACTTCTAAGACACAAAAGAACTTCAAGCTTTGCTTCTCAGGTGGTCACACAGTGTCTTCGTTTTCCTTTTCAAGGTCAGAGAGCCCCGAAGCTGTTAGAATTTTAATTGAAATGTCCTCCCTACAATCTTCATGTTAACTTCAAAATGTTTTGTGACTAGAAATCGAAACTCCAGCAGTTGACAGTTGAGGTGTCCTTTAGCTTCAAAATCAAGTAAGATTCACCACTGAATCACTAGAAACAGACATCAGTTTTTATTGTTATATACCACACAAATTATGAAACACCACCACATGTGTAATGTATGTGATCATATATAACTCAAATGCACGTCCTCCCCACCTCCCAGTCCTTCTGGCTAACGTTCAGGATTATAGTGTTGAAGGGGAGTGTGGTCAGTAAAATGAAAAACTCTGTGTTTACCTTGATGCTCCTTGTGTGCATGCATTGAAACTAAAAGAACACTTCTCCAGTTCTTGACATTGGCACTGTCTAGGGCAAGCGCTTGGTGTTAAAACCGGCCTACGTCTGGTGCCGAGAAGATCCTCAAGTCACAAAAGACACACCTACAGATATCACGACCTGCCACATATTTTCATTTTGGATACGAGATTTGTCAATACCGATCTCACAGTGTGAAGATTAAAATGGGATAGAGCGATGTCAGCATTGCATTCATAGTAAGCCCTAAATCAGTGAGCGCTTTAAAGCCACAGCACTTCTCTGCAACATTTTAAGGAACTTGAGTAACTGGAAAGTGTCCCTGACTTTGGTGATGAATAGTGTGATGAAAGCAACCAAGGAAGCCCTGCCAAAGCAAGTGATAGGGCTGTGGGTGAGCAGCAAAATGTGTTAGTCTTCTCCCTCAGTAGCTAGGGCTGGGAATATGAGAAGGAATGTATAAGGTGAACAGACCACATACTACTCCTCTCCCCAAGTTACTAACCTGTTGGAGGTGAGAATACACATACCTCTGTGAATTTACCAGCAACTGTAGCAGTTAGAGGTTCACGTGCCTTCACAAACTGCTTTGAGAATGCAACTATCTTCTGAGTGTTAACTGAATTTCTTACATCACTAGTTTTTAGTAAATGTATATTTCTCATTTGAAAAGCATAGTAGATAAAAATGAGGTTGTATCAAAATGTTTGTGCAGGGGGCCAGTGCTGTGGTATAATGCAGGTGCTACAATGCAGGTGTAATGCAGCTGCTAAGCCTGCACCTGCATTGCTGGCATCCCATATGGGCGCAAGTTCTAGTCCCAGCTGCTCTTCTTCCAGTCCAGCTCCCTGCTGATGGCCTGGGAAAGCAGTGAAATATGATCCAAGTGCTTGGGTCCCTGCACCCACATGGGAGACCTGGAAGAAGCTCCTGGTTTCCCTCCCTCCCTCCCTCTCACCCTCCCTCTTACCCTTCTTCTTTTTACCTTTCTGTCATTTAAACAAATTTTTTTAGTTAGCATATTTTATTTATTTTTAAAATTTTTTTATTTTTTTGACAGAGTAGACAGTGAGAGAGAGAGAGAGACAGAGAGAAAAGTCTTCCTTTTTCCATTGGTTCACCCCCCAATGGCCTCTGCAGATGGCACACTGTGGTCAGCGCACCGCGCTGATGTGAAGCCAGGAACCAGGTGCTTCTCCTGGTCTCCCACGCGGGTGCAGGGCCCAAGCACTTGGGCCATCCTCCACTGCACTTCCGGGCCACAGCAGAGAGCTGGCCTGGAAGAGAGGCAACTGGGACAGAATCCAGCACCCTGAGCGGGACTAGAACCCGGGGTGCCAGCGCCGCAGGCGGAGGATTAGCCTATTGAGCTGTGGCGCCAGCCCAAGTTAGCATATTTTAAACTTACATTACAGTAAAAAGGCTTAATACTTCAGGGAGTAAGAAGTTTACCAAGTAAAAAGCAAAAAGACTCTAATTATTGGGAATATAGACAATGGCTATAAATAATAATTGAGTGGAAAAAATGACCATTTCACCCATATACAATTTATTTGTCATTCATAATTTCTTTCAATGAAATAGAACCAATGACAATGTAACATCCAGATATTTCCTCTGTGGTTACAAGGTAATAATTTAGCTCATTTAGACTTTTAGCCATTTCTTCTTAACAGGTTATGCACAGGTATGACTTCATGCAGATTGCAATGCAAATCATCATATATTACATTTTTGGTGTTCTATTAGTTACCACAGAAACTAATAGGGAAAATATATGGTATTTGTCTTTTGTGGCACTCGCTTATTTCACTAAGCATAATTGTTTCCAGTTGCATCCATTTTGTTGTGAAAGACAGGATTTCTCTTTTTTTTTGTGGCTGAATAGTATTCTATAGTGTATATATACCAAATTTTACTTATCCAGTCATCAGTTGATGGGCATCTCGGTTGATTCATATCTTAGCTACTGTGTATTGAACTGCAATAAATATAGGGGTACAAATAACTCTTTCATATGCCAATTTCATTTTTCTTGGATAAATTCCCAAAGGTGGGATGGCTGGGTCATATCATAGATGTATTTTTGGATTTCTGAGGAATCACCATATAGTCTTCCATAGTGGTTGTCCTAGTTTACACTCCCACCTGCAATGATTTAGGGTACCAACTTCCGTACATCTTTGCCAGCATTAACTATTTTTCAATTTTTGGATGATAGCCATTCTAAATGGGGTGTGGTGAAACCTGGTTGTTTTTATTTGTGTTTCCCTGGTGGCTAGTGATCCTGAGCATTTTATACTGTTTCTGCTGACCATTTGTATTTCATCCTTTCAAAAATGCCTACTCGTGTCCTTTGCTCTTTTTAGCTAGCTTGTTTATTTTGTTGTTCTTGAGTTTCCTGAACTGTTCATGGATCCTAGAAAATCCATTATCAGTTGCATACTTTGCAAGTATTTTCTCCCATTCTGTTGGTTGCTTTATTTTGTTAAGTGTTTCTTTTGAGTGCAGAAACATCTTTTTTTAAAAAAGATTTTATTTATTTATTTAATTGAAAGTCAGAGTTACACAGAGACAGAAGGAGAGGCTGAGAAAGAGAGAGAGAGACCTTCCATCCGCTGGTTCACTCCCCAGTTGGCCACAATGGCCAGAGCTATGCCGATCCAAAACAAGGAGCCAGGAGCCTTCTCTGGGTCTTCCACGTGGGTGCAGGGGCCGAAGGATGTGGTACATCTTCTACGGCTTTTCCAGGCCACAGCAGAGAGCTCTGCCCCTCTTTGTCTCCCTTAACAGTTTTTGTGTTAAAGTTTATTTTGTCAGATATGAAGATGGCTACGCCCACTCTTTTTTCATTTCTGTTGGCATGGTATATCTTTTTCCAGCCTTTCACTTTCAGTCTGCATGCATCTTTGTTGGAAAGATGTGTTTCTTGTAAGCAGCAAATAGATGGGTTTTGTTCCTTAATCCATTCAGCCAATCTGTGTCTTTTAACTGGAGAGTTGAGGCCATTAACATTCAATGTGACTATTGATAAGTGGTAACTTTGCCCTACCATTTTCCCAGAGATATTTTCTAATATATGCTTTGAACTTCCTGTGATCTTGCTGTGAGGTTTCCTTCCTTTACCTTCTTTCATATTGATGACCGTGTTTCTGTGTTTCTGTGTGTAACACCTCTTTAAGCATCTTTTGCAGGGCTAGACGAGTGGTGACAAATTCTTTCAATTTCTGTTTGCTATGAAAGGTCTTTATTCACAAATGAGAGCTTTGCAGGATATAATATTCTGGGCTGGCAGTTTTTCTCTCTTAGTACCCGGGCTATGTCTCGCCATTCCCTTCTAGCGTGTAGGGTTTTTGATAAGAAGTCAGCCGTGAGTCTAATTGGAGATCCTCTGAGAGTAATCTGACGTTTCTCTCTTGCACATTTTAGGATCTTTTCTTTATGTTTCACTGTGGTGAGTTTGATTACAATGTGTCGTCATGAGGATCTCTTTTGGTCATGTTTACTAGGGGTTCTATGAGCTTCCTGTACTAGGATGTCTCTGTCCTTCTCTAAACCCGGGAAGTTCTCTGCTAGTATCTCACTAAAAAGGCCTTCTAATCCTTTCTCTCTCTCCATGCCTTCAGGAACTCCCAGAACCCGAATGTTGGGTTTTTTAATAGTATCCTGTAGATTCCTAGCCATATTTTTTAGATTTCTAATTTCCTCTTCTTTTCTTTGGTTTGACTATATACTTTCCTGTGCTCTGTCTTCTAAGTCCGATGTTCTCTCTTCTGCTTCACCCATTCTGTTTTTAAGGCTCTCTAATGTGTTTGTCATTTGATCTATTGAGTTCTTCATTTCATTTTGGTTTCTCTGCACTATCACATTTTCCTGTTCTACTAGTTTCTGTGTTTCATTTTGATTCCTCCTTAAGACTTCATTTTCACGAGAGAGATTTTCTATCCTGTCCAGTAAGGATTTCTGTAGTTCAAGAATTTGTTTTTGAGAACTTCTAAATGTTCTTATCATAACTTTTTTGAGATATGTATCTTGTATTTCTTCTATCTCATCATCTTCATAATCTTGACTTGGGGTGTCTTGTTCATTTGGGGGTGTCATAATGTCTTCCTTGTTCTTGTTTCCTCAGTTTATGCGTTTGTTGCTTGGCATTGTTGAGATATTCTTTGGATTCTTCTTCCCTCGCCGTGGTGTTTTTTTCTTGTTATACTATGACTATATTAAGTGGACTGTCTGCTTTTGATGGAGCCTTAGAGGCTTCAGATGGGTGTGGCCAGAGAGCTCTGTTTGGTTCTTCAGGGTTAGGGGTGTGCCAAAGGTGACACACCCAGGTTAGGCATGGTAAATTTCTCTCTCTCCTCTCTCTCTCTCTCTCTCTCTCTGATCCAGAAGGGAAGTAATTCTGCACAGCTGAGCGGAATTGAAGGTAGTCAGCTTCTGATCTCTGGCTCCTGTGGGTATAACATTCGTCTGCTCTTTCCCAAGGACCACACAAAGAATCTGTTCTGCCCTCAGTGTGGGCTCAAATTCCCCTACAGTCTCTCACTGGGTTGCCAATTTTACCAAATTGTAGCGTCTCTGGAGAGTACTCACGTGAACTCTGTGAGTTCTCTCACCCACTGTCTCTTTTTTCACTTCCTCAGTTCATTAGCTCCACACATTCACTAGGTCCTAACCTCCTGTTATTTCTCACACACACACACACACACACACACCCCAGAGTCCAGTTTTTCCACTTGGCTTTGGCAGGTGCAGCCCGGAGGTCGCACAGCTTTTACGTATGTCCAAAATGGTACCTGCTCTTTGTCTTGCTTGCTCTTTGTCTTGCTCGCCTTTGAGAGGTGAGTGGAGAGAGAGAGACTCGTGCCTGTACCAGTCCTTTCTCTCTCTCTCTCTCTCTCCTCGAGTTAGCCTGGTGAACTTTTCCCCATGGTGCTTCAGGCCTCATTCTCTCTAGGCTTCTCCTTCTGCTTTCCCGCCAGTGTCCCAGGCTACTGAGGTTTTGGCTCACCTCGCGTTCCAGCGCTGCTGTGTAGATTCCGCGACTGGTGTCCTGAGCTGTGGGCTCCCACGCTTTCTACGCAGGTCCACCGTGAATCACTGGTTCTGGAAGAGTTTCCTCTGCTGTTTCTTCCACAACTCTTCCTTGAACCTGCAGTATCTCAACTTTTATTAAACTGTCTCTTCCCAAACTATCAGTGTGCTCCCTTCCTATTCCGCCATCTTGCCGGACACCCAAGCACTGGACATTCTTACTCCATAATGTGGTAACTCAAAATCGTCTCCGCCCACGTTTGCTGTTCATGATTAGCATTTTCTCATTTTTTACTATTGTACATTATGTCTGTGCCTGGGGTAAACCTAAGGGTAAGCTTTAGATTCTCTTGCATCTTTTCTGAGCCTGAATCTTTGGGTATTTGTAGTCACTTTCTCAGTTTTTCCATACATAACTTGCAGTTGCTTTTAAAGAAAGATTTACTTATTTATTTGAAAGGCAGAGAGAGAGAGCAAGGAGGAAAGAGAGAGAAAAAGAAAGAGAAAGAGAGAGAGAGAGCTAGAGAGAGAGCACTTCCATCTACTGGTTTACTTCCCAAATTGCTACAACCATCAAGTGTGGAACGAGCCATAGCCAGGAGCCAGGAATTCCATCCTCGTCTCCCACTTGGGTGGCAGGGGTTCAAGAACTTAGGCCGTCTTCTGCTGCCTTCCCAGATACATAAGCAGGAAGCTGGACTGGAAGCAGAGTAGCTTGGACTCAAATCTGTCTCTGGAAAGTCCCCAAACATGTACATTCTGATGGCACTGCATCTTGTCCCTTTAGTCACCTGACCTCATGCCTCTGTGAACTGCTCTCATGGCAATCTCAGAACACAGAATGAGGACATGTTCTCAAGGGAGAGGCCCAGCTGCAGCCTCCCCTGTTGGCACCTGAGTGTCTGAGTCCTCCATGGGTTATTGAAGGTATGAACTTTCCTTTGTGGTAAGCATCTTTGGGAAGAGTGGCCAGCTCCCCACTGAGAGCCAGTGAGCTGTTTCAGGGTGATACTCATGTATTTGGGAGTTGTAGATTTATTTGTGGCTATGTTATTCTACAATATGTGTGTATGTAGTTTTATATGTATACCTTTCTAGAAATTACAATAGTAATGAATTCTTTCCTCCTAGGAGTTGGAGCATTCTGTACCCAAGAATACACCTACACAGGTAAAGGATCCATTTCCTATCTGTAGACTCTTTCAAGTATTTTTTTTGACAGGCAGAGTGGACAGTGAGAGAGAGAGAGAGACAGACAGAGAAAGGTCTTCCTTTGCCATTAGTTCACCCTCCAATGGCTGCCGTGGCCAGTGCACTGTGCTGATCCGATGACAGGAGCCAGGTACTTATCCTGGTCTCCCATGGGGTGCAGGGCCCAAGCACTTGGGCCATCCTCCACTGCACTCCCTGGCCACAGTAGAGAGCTGGCCTGGAAGAGGGGTAACTGGGACAGAATCCGGCGCCCCGACCGGAACTAGAACCCGGTGTGCCGGCGCTGCAAGGTGGAGGATTAGCCTAGTGAGCCGCGGTGCCGGCCTTCAAGTGTTTTTGTAAAAGGAAAGATGTGGGTCCAGAGTGTCTCCCACAAGTGAGAGAGGCCTAGGGTATGTGGATCCTAAATGTTTCCAAGTCAGTGAGCTGGCCCTTTGCTTGCCAGGTTCACTTTCCAGCTCAAGGGAGTGTGGGCCAGACTCGGTGGTCTAATAATGCTTGGTAATACCAGTCTGGAGCTGTTCCTGGGCCCTACGAAGTCCCCTAATTCCCATCTTGCTGCCTTTCCTTCATGGCTATCCTCAGTCTGGCACCATAGCACCTTAAGTCTGTGAGTGCTGCCTCCAGGGTAGTTTTAGGAAATAGAGTGAGACGTTCTCAGGGGAAAGGCCCAGGTACGGCTGTCACTCGTGGATCTCAGGTCCCCTTGGGTATTCAGAATATGTGCTTTGTTTCTCTGGAAAGAGTGGCCAGCTCCACACTGAGAGTGAAGTCCCTGCTGTCGGGTGGTTCAGTGACATGGCCGTGCAGATTGGTGTCAGCCACGGGACCCTGGACTTGGCAGCAGAAGGACTCCATGGGTATTTTTGCCTCCCAGCTATCCAGAGAGGGGGAGGAGATCTCACTGTCTTGAGGACAAAAAAGATTATCTGTGTGTCAAATTGTGTGTTTCCCTGCCTGATGTGTGTTGTTTGTTTCCATATGTATACTTTCAGTTTATAGATGCATATATTTAGGAATCATAGATTTTTCTAGCTATATTACTTTTTCTGACATAGAGTGATGATAGTGATGAATCCATAATCCTAGGATGTTGAAGGTTCTCAGCTACAAGGATGTAGCCAGATGGGTCCTGGAAAATTTTTCTGTAATTTTAAACAAGTGTGAGTAGTTACACAAACACACAGAGAAACACACACACATACATCTTTAGAGGTTCATTCAGTGTTTATGAACATTTACATAGTTGTGTAGCCAAAGATTTGTTGGAAGTTGGTTGTTTCCCTTTGGACATCATACAGGGCTCATTCTCTCACCAACAAACCAAGAGATGTCTGGAAACTTGCTGCATTGAGGTGGGACAGGACGTGGGCTTTCCAAGGCCTTAGGTCCTACTTTGTCCTGGGTTGTACATGAGCAATCCCCGTTCCCACTTACCTCTAGCAGTTAGCTAAACCTCTTTGCCCAAGAGAGTTGGGCCCTAAGTTAGAAACACTCCTTATATATCTTAATGGGCTAGCAGGACTGAAAGTCGCCCTCTGACCTGGTGAGCTGGATCTCTTTTATGTCATGTTGTTCAGAAGGCTGGTAAACCTGCTGTGGGCCCAGAATGCCCCTCCAAGACAAGCGGCTTACAGCATGTAGGTTCCGTGTGTTTCCCAGAAAGCTAGTGTGGTGGCCCTCCAGCTAGCCTGGTCCATATCTCTAGGACAAGTTCATTTTGGCCGAGTCTGGCTCCCAGAGTGTGTAATCTTCAGGGATGGTGGCCAGAGCTGACTCTGGGGAGTGTGCAGATCCACATTCTGGTGGCACCATGGCATAGCTGACCCTGCAGCCAGGTGTCATCTTCCTGGTACCTGCCTATCCTGCCTAAAAGGAAACCTCAAAACCCAGAGGAAGGGCCAGCATTATGGCACAGCGGGTTCAGCCACCACCTACGATGCCAGCATCCCATATGGGAGTCAAGCTGTGTCTTATCTGCTCTGCTTGCTATCCAACCCTCTGCTAATGCAGCTGGGAAAGAAATAGAAGGTGGTCCAATTCTTTGGGTCCCTGCACCCATGTGGGAGACCCAGATGGAGTTCCAGACTCCTGGCTTTGGTCTGGCCTAGCCCTGGCTTTTGTGGCCATTTGGGGAGTGAACCAGCAGGTGGAAGATCTTCACCCTCTATCTCTCTCTACATATCACCCTGCTTTTCAAATACATAAAGATAATTCAGATTGAGTGGGAGTTCTCAGAGGAGAGGCCCAACTCCATCTACCCCAGTCTGCAGTCCAGGCTCTGAGACCCTGGGTTGTACAAAATGTTCTTTTCCTTCTGGGTAAAATCTCAGGCAAGGATGGCCAGCTCCCCATAGAGAGGGAAGTCACTGTGGTCAGGGTTGTGCATGGGCACACCCCTGGGGAGTATCAGTGATCACACCCTGAAACTGGTGTGAAGGGTCTTCTTGGGTGGTTATGAGCCCGAAGCAGAGCAACAGGGAAGGGAGAGCCCAGTGCCCCCTAACCACAGAGGTTGTGTGTTTCTTCTTGTGTTGTATGTGATTGATTTGTGTATGTACATCTTCTTGCCTAGAAATTCTTGTATTTGGAAATCATTGGTGGACTTCTGTCTCTGGGTATTTATTTCTGAGACAGACAGACACTACCCTGTAACTGTGTGGGTGAGCATTTCTAGGACTAATGGGAGTCGTGATTTCCTCCTTCCCAGCATGGTGAAACATCCCAGTGCAAGGAAACAGCAATACATGTACAAGAACAATTTTCTATATTGTGCAGACACACACAAGTATTTCGACAGTTATGCACATGTGCTTTGGCTTTCATTTAATATTTGTGTGCCTCTCTGTACATGAATACAGGAAGGTATATGCCCCATCGTGTTATTTTGACTGTGGAAATCATTCAAGATGCAGCTACCACTTGATAAGCCAAGAGTCACCTGTACATGGTGGCAGGGTGTCAGAGGCTGGAATGGCTCACATGATGTTGATCTTTCCTTTTGCTGACAAGTGATGCCAGTTTGTGTGATGGAGATGTTTAACATGCAGCCGTGGGTCTGGTTCAGCCATTGCACCAATAGGAGTCCCTGGACAGTGAGCAGTAGAGCACCCCCAGGCTACAGGAAGCCAGAGTTCATTCATGTAGTCCTGACACGTGAGATTATCTGTATAAACTCAGCAGCATTTTACTTCCAAGCCACACTTCTATAGAGTATGTGTGTGTGTATACATATTTAATTGCTCAGGCTTTGGTTCTTGACATTATGTAGATGATAGGTTTTTATCTATATATTATTTTTTTAATTTGGCAAAGACAGTTCAAACACTGCTTTTCCTATGAGATCTTATTTCCAAAATACTGCATTTAAGGATAATTTGGGCACAAAGTAAGGTGATTCTTGGCCATGCTGTGTCAAATCCAGGAGATTGGGGTGAGTCTGCTGTCTGTGTCTGAACTTGGCAAAAGCCATTTCCTGCTAGAGTTGTGGCCTAGGTGAATGTGACCCCGGATGTTCCTGTCTGGCAGTCTGACAGACTCAAAATGAATAACATCACTAATTAATTAAAAAGCATTTCTGTGATTTAACGCAAATTATTCTGAAATAAGATTGATACAAAAATAAAATTATTAACTCTAAACTCAAATGACACAAGTAAAATTAAAAAACTCAATTTTGTGGCTCAACGAAACTAAAACTGATTCATCAAATGAATGAAAGGATGTACACTAAAGAAAGGTTTACTAATAATTCCGAGAAAATCATTTTGTAGATTAGATGAGTCCATGAGCTCAGTGATTCTGATACTGACTCTCCATTAAAAGGGAATAAATATGGCCAGCACCATAGCTCACTATGCTAATCCTCTGCCTGCGGCGCTGGTACCCCGGGTTCTAGTCCCGGTTTGGGCACCAGATTCTGTCCCGATTGTTGCTCTTCCAGTCCAGCTCTCAGCTGTGGCCTGGGAGGGCAGTGGTGGATGGCTCAGGTGTCTGGGCCCTGCACCTGCATGGGAGACCAGGAGGAAGCACCTGGCTCATGGCTTCAGATAGGTGCAGCATGCTGGCCATGGCGGCCATCTGGGGAGTGAACCAACGGAAGGAAGACCTTTCTCTCTGTCCCTCTCTCTCACTGTCTAACTCTACCTGTCAAAAAAAAAAAAGTGAATAAATCTGGATTTGTGCAGTTGGGGGACCGTTGTTGTCTTCCATAAGAGACCTCTCTAAAGTAGCAATATTTTGGGTGGGGAGACTCATATGAAATAAACTGCAAAACTAGGAAATTAGATATCATATTTGCTAGCTTTGCACAGAAACCACTGAGAGAAGCTGTGTGAGGTGAGGCAAGCTTTTCTGAATCCTAGTGCTCATTCTAGAAAAACCAAATTTTCCATCAAAAGGGAGAACAAAAACCTTGATGGGAACATGCCCATCCCCATACAAAGGCACTAGAGGGGGGAATCAGTACTAGAAGGAGAGCAAGGACTCTCACCCTGAAAACATTCCCAGCTTGATGTCATCTGTGCTCTCAGCAGGGTAGTTTCCAGGATGAGGAAAAGGTCATTAGGAAAATGATACCAAGCATAAAGGGACGTCATTACTAAGAATCCAGGAGGCTCAGGAATGGATGGAGAGAAAAGGGGAAAGAAGAAGGAAAATGGGAAAAGGAACATCAGCCATGAAGTGTAAACTAGAAGAAACACAGGAGCAGACTGTGCCTTTCAAGACACGGAAGGTGAATAGAAGAAAATGTTAACAACAGAAACCTGATCAGAGATGCCAGGAGATGAAGAGAAGCACAGGGAGCTGCTGGATGCCTGAGATTCCTGGAAGAGAAGAGACAGTGCAGTGACCCAAAGCCAATCAGCACAATGCAGACTTTTCTGCCAACGAAAATGCGCTGTCAGATTCCATCTTAGAAGACCACTGGATGTGACTTTGGCTGATGCCATTGATATTCCAGTAAAATCTGTGTATTAAAAGAAAAATGTTCAGGCATCTAGAATACAAGGATGAGTGACATAAAGGGAAATGAAACTGAGAATCTCATCAGTCTTGTAGAAACAGCGAGTCTGGGCAAAAGGAAAAAGAATATATTTAAGATGCTTGAGAAGAGAAACTAAACCTGGAATTCTGTGCCATCCAAGCTGACATTAGGTAAAAAGTGCATTGGCATCCAGGTCGTCAAGAGACACTGTGAGCGAAAGGGACCCCATGATGCCTTCCAATGGAAGGAACAGATGGGTGACAACAAAACCCCTAGGGGCCGGCACTGTGGTGCAGCAAGTTAACGCCCTGGCCTGAAGTGCTGGCATCCCATATGGGTGCCGGTTTGAGACTCGGCTGCTCCACTTCCAATCCAGCTCTCTGCTATGGCCTGGGAAAGCAGTAGAAGATGGCCCAAGTCCTTGGGCCCTGTACCCGTGTGGGAGACCTGGAAGAAGCTCTTGGCTCCTAGCTTCAGATCGGTGCAGGTCTGGCTGTTGCGACCATCTGGGGAATGAATCAGAAGATGGAAGACTTCTCTCTCTGCCTCTTCTCTCTCTGTGTAACTATGACTTTTGAATCAATAAATAAATCTTTAAAAAACCATAGAAAGTATTGCTGTAAGAACGGATTGAAAAGACCACCCTGGCAGTGACTATTCATTGAGGATCAAATGGGATTCCTCCTGAGGGGTTGGTGGTGGTGGTAGTCACTAGGGTGACTGCTCTCAGATCCTTTAAGTTCTACCTTTGCTGAGGTGTTTCCCTGTGATGTGCTTCATTGGACAAAACCATATGAAAAGCAACCAGTACGGATGATGATAATTTAATACCATAATCTGCAGAGGACTGGTGAGGAGAGATGTGGCTGGTCAGCTGTGTCTCCTCCTGCGTTGTTCAAGCTTCCTGTGGTTGGAGAAGCTCCAACTCCTCTGTGTCCCGCCCTCCACATTGCAGGCTTCCGAGGAGCAAAGGAATCTGCAGGAAGACACAGGAATGGGGATCAGTGAGGAGGACAAGGACGCGGCAGCTGGTGCAAGGGGTGTGTGCAGAACTCGGAAGTTTTCTGTGACCCTCGAAGGTGACCCTAGGCTGTGATCTGCCCAGTGATTTGGGCCATCAGTAACGGAGGCCCATTTGCTTGTGGTTTGGACATCCCACAAGAGTGAATTCCTGGGGGCCACATGTGGTATAACAGGGTCATACCACCTGCAACTCCCTCATTCCATATGGTGCCAGTTCAAGTCCAGGCTGCTCCACTTCTGATCCAGCTCCCTGATAATGTGTCTGGGAAAGCAGTGGAAGATGGCCCAAGTCTTTGGGCCCCTGCACCCATGTGGGAGACTGGAAGAATCTCCTGGTTCCTGGCTTTGGTCTGGCCAAACCCAGGCTGTTGTGGCCATCTGGGGAGTGAACCAGTGGATGGAACATATCTCTGTTTCTCCCTCCCTCTCTGTAACTATGCCTTTGAAACACAAAAGAATCATTTTTTTTTTTTGCCCTTTAAAGCCAAACATTATTGCTTTTGTGCATATCAGCATTGAAGGGGTGATGGAAAACACTTCTTTTCAAAAGGTCATAAACCCAGTGTGCATATATAATTTAACTATAATTAGAGCACAAATAAAAGGAACACAAGGGATTTATAACTCTGCTCCTCTTGCTCTTCAAAGTGAGCTTTGCTTTGAATTGCCATCGTGTTTCTGTGTGAATTAGACAGATGCACAATTTTATATTCCTTCCAAATAAAACAATCCAACCATATAAATAATCCTTCTTTATCAGCCTTTTACGAAAGTAGGTTGAGGGCCCCAATGGCTTGGGCAAATCCCTGTAGCTCTTGTGTTTTTTTTTTAAGATTCATTCATTTATTTGAGTCGGAATTACACAGAAAGAGAAGGAGAGGCAGAGAGATAGAGAGAGGTCTTCCATCCGATGGTTCACTCCCCAGATGCCGCAATGGCCAGGGCTCCAAAGTCCGAAGCCAGGAGCCAGGAGCTTCTATTGGGTCTCCCACACGGGTGCTGGGGCCCAAGCACTTGAGGCATCTTCTACTTTCCCAGGCCATAGCAGAGAGCTGGATCGGAAGTGGGGCAGCTGGGACTTGAACCAGTGCCCATATGGGATGCCAGCACTGCAGATGGTGGCTTTACCTGCTGTGCCACAGCGCCGGCCCCATCTCTTTGTTCTGTGCTAGCCTCTGTAATGTCAGGATAAGTTGGGTGCCCACAGGGCTGCAAAGGTGAGTGCAGTGGGATGTTCTCCTGGAGTGAAAAGGAGCCTCAAAATGTGACTCTCTCACCCCCTTCCTAATCATCCTGAGCTGGAGGAGGTCAGGGATGGCCCTGTGTCTCCCCATGGCAGAGAGTCTCCCTGTTGACTTTGGGGATGGGCAGGCAGGGATGTGGGCTCTGGAGGGAGATGTTCAGCAGCTCTGGCGGCTCTCCCCAGAAACACACGACCAGCAGCTCCCTCTGATGACGTTCGTGTGCCAGTCCTCCCCTTCTGATGAAAGCAGCCACTGGGGGCTCAGCCTGGGAGCCCTAGGGGCTGCCATGGAATGGGGATGTGTCCCTGGGACCACCTCAGGGCACATCCTTTACTTGCCTGTGTAGATCCTGACATCCATTAGTGTCTACTTGATGGATCAGGGCTGACGGCAGCCTCTCCACTTCTGGGCTCCATTTTGTTGGCTTCCCTGAGGTATCACAAAGAATGTGAAGCAGTGAAGTCCGTGTGCACTTATTTCTCTGCCCCCCATCTTCCTGCTCCAAACTCACATTTCCTGTTCTTCTTGGTCAAGGTCCTCCATGTCCAGAAGACTTTGGGGATAGTTCACGTCCAGGGAACATGTGGACACCTGGAAAGAAGAAACAGTGTGAGTTTCCTGAACCAGGCATTAAGGAAAAGCCCTTTCTTAGGGGACATGGAGGCCAGAGTCAGACTTCCCTGGAGTCCTCCCTCCATGGACCCTGGGACCCTGCCTGCCTGTCCCCAGCCCAGCTCCCTGTGTGGGCAGTCGGGTTCCTCAGCAGTGTTTCATAGTGCAGTGTGGGGGTGAGGAATAAGGGCAAGGCTGATGAAGGGAGAGGGGAGGGCTGCAGAGAGACTGGATCAGCATCCACAGTGCAAGGACATCCACTGCCTGGATGCCACCAGGTCCTGCAGGATGCGAATCATCCACTGTGGTGAGGTGGGAACGCGGGAGAAGCAGGACCAGGGGCTTGTGAGCAAGAAAGCGAGAGAATCAGAAAAAAATGAAAGAGGAATCACTCACCCCCCGATTGCCACACCCAGTGGAAAGTTCAGGTGCTGCCCCATAGCCTTCCATGTGCACCAGAGCAGGGGTGTTGAGGTTGCCAGAGAGAAGGAAAGGGGAGAGTTAGACTTGAGGTGAGGACTCGGATCCCTGCTGCTGGTTGGATGATGTGGGCCAGCCTTGGGACCCCATGTCTATATCCCTATCCCAGGCCTGGATGTCTTCACCTCTGCAATGAGCAAGTGGATCTCAGAATGTTCACCTCTTCTTCCTGCCCTCAGCTCCCATGACTGTGGCCAGGAAAGGACCCCCGTGTCATCTTGTTACTCCATAGGGAGCCATGTCCATGACATGATCTCTGTAACACACTGTTTTCCACCCTTCATCTTTCCCTTCCTCTATTCTCTCTCCTAATTATTGCAAATTGCCATCGGCTATGAGAGCTTTGTAGGCAAAATGCAAGTTGTGCTGCCACATGCAGATGGCACTGTGGTCATGCCAGCGTCCCCCAGAGCACTGGTTAGTGTTCTGAATGCCCCACTTCTGATCCAGCTCCCTCTTAAGGGGCCTGGGAATGCACCAGAAGATGGCCCAAGTGCTTGTCCCCTTGCCACCGATGTGGGAGAAGTGGGTGGAGTTTCAGGCTCCTGACTGGCCTAGCCCAGCTCATGTATTGGGGCCATTTGTGGAGTAAACCTAGAGATGGGAGAGCCCTTCCTCTTGTTTCTCCTTCTCTTTCTAATACTGTGGGGTTTTTAAAATATTTATTTATTTATTTGAAATGAGGAGTTATAGAGAGAGAGGGAGAGACACAGAGATCGTCCATGTGCTGGTTCACCCCTCAGATAGCCGCAATGGCTGGGACTGTGCCAGATGTCAGGGGTCAGAAGCTTCTTCTGAGCTCCCATGTGGGTGTAGGGCCCAGGGACTTGGACCATCTTCTGCTGTTTCCGAGGTGCATTAGCAGGGGGCTGGATTGGCAGTGGAGCAGCCAGCACTCAACCCAGCTGCCATATGGGATGCTGGTACTGCAAGCTGCCACTTAACCTGCTTCACCATTCGCCAACCCTGTCACTGTGCCTTTCAAATAAATAAATAAATGAATACTACTACCCACAGCGGTAAGTCTATAGATCCCTTCCTAAGAGGGGAGCAAGTGTAACAGGCCTGGCTCCTGCTGGCTCCTGGGAAAGCTGATGAGGAACAACTGCAGGTGTTGAATCGCTGTTCTGTGTCTGAGGAAACTGCAGGTGTTGAATCGCTGTTCTGTGTCTGAGGAAACCTCAGGGAGTGTGAAAATATTTATTTCTCACAATAACCCCTGTGTTCCCTGACCCATATGAAAAGATGACCCCAAGAGGAGAAGAAATTTAACTTGTTCAAATTCTGATTTCACTGCAGGCCTGAGGGCACGGAACGTGCCTGGCCTGAGTGGAGGGGGGAACAGGGCAGCACTGACTAGAGCAGCGTGTCTGAGGGCAGCACTGACTAGAGCAGCGTGTCTGAGGGGACCAGTGACCCCCGGCCCTGCTGCTCAGAGGCCCTCCACAGAGCCCAGCACATTCCAGAAGATGAGGTCAGCAGGACCATGAGGGCCAGTGTGTGCGTCCAGCCCAGAACCCCCTCTGGGAAGCCTGCACAACCATGCTGCATCTCCAGTGGCAGCTGGATGACAGCCCATCATGCAGCCTACTCCAGACACTTGACTTGGGCGAGATGTGGAAGCTGAGATGAACTCAGGGTTATGCCCTCTCCTCACAACTGGAAGTCAGTCAGCCCAAAGGAAGTATTTAACTCACCCAGCCTGGGCAGGCCTTGTAAACTGGAGTAGACAATGAGGACAGAGCATGAAGATGCTGATCTACGGACTGGCCATGCAGAGGGAAGGGTCCACTAGTCACTGTCGGCTGGCACTTGCTACAAGGACTCTGTGGGTTCCAGCCGGTGCCTGTGAGAGAGGGCGCCCACTGTATCCCCTGTCCTTGATGCAGCAAGGAGCCCTTCCTCAGAAGCAATGCAGCACCTTGGTCTTGGACCTGCCAGCCTCCAACAGGAAGAAAGAATTTCTGTTCCTTGTGAATGACTGAGTGTCAAGGGTTTTGTTGCTGCGCACAAATGGACTGACAATGGTCAGTGCCAAAGTCAAATACAAATCTCCTGCGCTAAGTTCCTAGTCAGTGCTGTCCCTCATGACACAGTGGATTTCAGCTTTGCCTTGGCAAAGCCAAGGATGGTGGGTATTAGAGAAAATTACATTTTTCATTCCAAAGGAAGAAAACTCAGTTCTCCTCATGCCCATGGAAATAAAACCTGTTGCTACTGTGCCAATCCCATAGAAGAACAAAGCAGACTTCTACGTACACTTCCTCTCTTTCCTCCTGACTTCATGTGTCCTCTCAGGAGTCCTAAGAGGCAGGTGTACTCCCATTGTTCCCTCTTAATGACCCCCGGTCCTTATGGGTGTTGCTCCGTACCTGAAGAGACTTCAGCTTCACTGTAGGACTTGGAAATGCTCTGTGAGGCCCAATCTTCAGAGACACAAAGACAGACAATAAGTGTTCACAGAGGTGTCTCACCCATTTCTCCCCTCACCCCTGTGCACATCCTGGATCACACAGCATGACCCTGCTCCCCCTCTGTGCTCTCAGCCCCTTCCTGGGCTCTGTGGCCCTGCCCCTCAGCCAGACATTGACCACAGCTTCAAGCATTCCAGTGAGGGAGAGGAGCTGACGGCTCCTCCTCTCAAGGTCTCACTTTCCCCATGCCTGAATGACAGTGGCTCCAGCCTCCATCTGAAAACCCCCCAGATCCCACTGTGCTGTGCATGCTCTGAGCTTTA